TTATGGATCTTCGGATCCACATTATATCAGCAGCTCCACCGTGAACTATGTAAAAACAAACACGCTCACGCCTCACAGACGACAGCTTACAGTCCTGCGTAAAGATGAAAGTGACTTCGTACAGCCTGATCTGCAGACGCTGCGCAGAGGTTCAGGAGCAGAAGTCTTATTGTAAACATATCACAGCAGACTCGACGATGTTTGCATGAACACGCTTTTCAGCATCTCTTTATTGACCACTTTTCACACACGGTTGCTGTACGCACACAGCCGGCTGTAGCTTTGCAGCTCACAGCCCGACACACACCAACACAACAGCAGACTTTAAGGCGGCGAGACGTGATTGCGGGGCCCGCTCAGGTGTGTCCGCCTCCCCTGCAGCGGCGCTGCAGACCACGCCCCGCCACACACATTAACCAGGTAAAATACATACTTAGGCAGAATTTTGCAAATATCTATTTTTTTAGCAGCATAGTGCTTTTTTTCCAATTACTTTTTAAAAGTCAGGTCAAGGCTCCAAAAGCCCAAAGACGATATGAGGGAGGCAGCTCACAGCAGTTTGTGTTTGCTGGATCATTTTAGTTCATCTTTCCTTTTGTTATATTTCTTTAAGAGTTCAAAATGTGTTAATTACATAAATAAATGTAATTTTCTCTGTAGCACTTCATGGATTTCATAAGCAACACACCTTAGTTACTCTGTGGATTCTTTTAAAAAGCAGTTAAAAACGTTTCTGTTCAAACAAGCCTTTTGTTGATCTGCGTATTTTATATTCTTTACATTATTTACATTTGATCTTTACATTGTGTATAATGTCTGTTGATTGTATTGTTTATTTTAATATTTGTGTACAGCGCTTTGTGACTGCCTGTCTGTGAAAAGCGCTTAATAAATAAACTTTACTTACTTTAGTTGTTCACACAAGCATAAAGGTAAAAACAGTATATGCAGTGTTATCTTCATTTTAGATTTCAGAAAGTATTTGCGGCTCCCAGAGTTTTCTTTTGCGTGGAAACCGGGTCCATAAACCGGCCGGTCATACAGAGGCCACCGCCCTCCTGTCTGGGTTTGACCCCCCCTCCCCCTGTGTTGGCCTGAACATATCCTCACACACTGACTGTGTTACTCGGTGAGGTCAGGGGTCAAATACAACAGCTGACTCTTATATAAAGCTTTGTTTCTTCATGGTGCGCAGGCTGAAAGCACATCTGTCTTTACAGCGTTAACACCAGAGAAGTTGTGTCTTCATTCAGTTTCAGCCTTCAGTCCTTCAGACAGATTTGTGTCTTTATGCTTCTCAGGGCAGATGGCGCCCTCGCGGAGCCGCGGCAGGTCCACGTGCCTTTAACCTTTAACCCCAACCCCTGTTTTCTAAATATGTGATTTTTCTTCAGTCAGTA